CATACTTTGTAACAGTGACAGCTGAGGAACACGGAGGAAAGGCCCAGGAAGCTGCCACAGAGACTGCTCTGCAATCCTGATGGTGTCAGGTCTCCACCTGTAATTATGAGGCGAGCAGGCCTGCTTTTCATCCCACCCGGCTCCCCCACAGCTAGCTTAGTCCCAGAATAATTACACGGAAACTGTATCCATTTAAACACTGCCTGGCCCATTGTCTCTAGCCCCTTATTGGCTAACTCTCACATATTAATCAACCCATTTCTAATAATGTGTGTAGCACCACGAGGTCGTTGCTTACCAGGAAGATTCTAATCCATGTCCATCTTAGAGAGGAGAGCCATGGCGTCTGCTTGCCTCTGCTTTCTTTCTCCCACAATTCTGTTCTGTCTTCCCCTCCTACCTATCTTCTGACCTATCAGGCCAAGCAGTTGTCTTTATTAATTAACCAATGAAAGCAGCAGATAGATAGAAGACCCTCCTACATCATCCACCCACTTCGGATGCCCCAATAGCTCCTTGTATCTGAACCTTCAAGATACTTGCAACCCTGTCCCTGCAAAAGCAGCCATGCCTGGACAAACACGCAAGAAATCCCCAGTTACCATGATCAGTCTTAACAATGGAGTCATGAAAGCATTTCTAGTGTGCAGAAACAGACTCCCAAGAGTATACTCATTGGCAAAGTTGCTGGTGTATAACAGGGAGAAGAAACTGGCTGGCTTGGGGAAGCAGCTCTCCTGGGAGCTGAGTCTTATCTCCCCATCTGGCAGCCACCATTTCTAGAAGATGAAAGGAGATCCATTCTAAGTAATACAGGTAGATGCCCCGAAGGGCGTCATTTCTTCTCCAGCCATTGTAGCGCAAGTTTCTGGTAGACTGTCATTACAGTTCTAAAAACAAAACACCCAATAGTCACTAGGCACTTGTTGTTTAACCTAAGTATTACCAGAACGTCCATGGACCTCTTATTTATTCTTTGTTGTGTCATACAGCTAAGGCTCTATGTTGTGTCATAGAGCTAAGGCTCTATGTTGTGTCATAGAGCTAAGGCTCTATGTTGGAGCTAATGATTAATTAAGATTGCTATATAAAAATTTGCGACAAATCGCCATGGTCAGGTTTTATTCAGCTTTCACTGGAGAACAAAGTGTTAGGGAAGGGCATTAGAATCTTTCTTGGTTTGGGTCACACAAAATAAGACAAAGAAAGCAATAAATCTACGTCAGAGGTTCTCCTTCAGGCTGCGAGGTTGTTCCTCCTCAACCATCTGGGCAGAGATCCTGTCAAACAGCTCGGGCAAAGCTCACTCTCAGTCAGGGTTCTCGGGAACGGCCCTTCATTTTAAGACAGGAAAGGAAGATGGGAGAGGTCCCGAGGCTTTGAAAAAGTTGTCAGGACACAAAGGGAGATGAGGTATTTTCATCTTTGGTGGGACATAAGACCCCTCAGTCCCCAGGGAGGACGTTCTACTCAGTGTGAGGCCACACAGGACATAGCTAGAACAGTATGACAGAAACGCTGCCTCAAGTGGACAAGGGTCCACTGTACGATCCCTGCTCACTTGACAGTTTGCAGAACAGACTTGTGGAACCTCTGGGGAGCCCGGGCTGACGAGCCTCTTCCATCCATGCTCAGAAGGAAACAACTCAGAACAGGTGTGCTGACGTATGCCTTTAATCTCATGACTTGGGAGGGAGGCAGAAACAGACAGATCCCTGGGAGTGTGAGCCCAGCCTGGTCTACAGAGTGTGTGCTAGCTAGATCAGCCAGGGCTGCACTCTGAGACCCTGCCTCACAACATCGCAAACAGAAACTAGGCCTTCTCGCTGCTTTCTTTTCTGTTTGTCCGGCTTCCCTTTCTCTTATCCCTTCCCTTCTCTTCTTATGAGTATGATTTTTTCTGGCCAGGAACCCTTCTGCTGTGCCCCCGAGCCTCTGATAACCCTGTGAGTCTGGTGCTAGTGATTACTAGCTCTGTTTCCCAAAGGCAAGCTTTTGGTTTTTATACAAACGTCTACAGAAGAACAAACCCACTAGAGAGTTTTCCTACGCCTTCTGCTTCTACCCAATCTTTAAATTCCTTCCCTGGGGCCGGGCAGTGGTGGTGCGCACCTTTAATCCCAGCACTCGGGAGGCAGAGACAGACAGATCTCTGTGAGTTCAGGGCCAACTTGATCTACAAGAGCTAGTGCCAGGACAGGCTCCAGAGCTACAGAGAAACATTATCTAAAAAAAAAGAAAAGAAAAGAAAAATCAATCTGTTATATAGTAGGCAATCCGAATTTTACATTCTTTCCTAAGCCCGACTTTTTGCCTCATTTGTGAAAGCCATTTTCTCTTCTATATGTAAATTTTAATCATAGAAACATAAAATGTTTTAGTTATAGAGTTTTATTCATAATATATATTTAGCACACTGCCATTGGTCTCTCTCTTATAATTTTTCCATTTGTTGCAGTTAAATAGAGATGCTTGAGGTTTTAAAATATGCAAAACCAGCTTCATGGTTAACTTATTAGCTAGACCCCCTCCTTTCATAGTTTCTAAATCCATGAAATAGTATTGAAAGCTTTTTAAATCACTCAAAATTAAGGAAACCATTATTTTTCTGGTAATAACTATTACCAGAAATACCAAGCATGCCATTGATTCGTAAATGTTATCACTAATAGCAGCATTAACATAAGGAAATTCCAAATAATTGTAACTCAGTGCTCAGTTTTTGTTACATTTACTTTGTGTGGGTGGGGGTGTTTGTTTGCACAGGCGCAACTTCGGTCAATCTCATGGTGAACTGGGGAAAGTTCCACGCTCTGGCCTCAGAATAGCCACAAAGTACTGGGCCTGGCGGATGCGCTCCAAGGCAGTGGCCACTTTAAATGTGATCAGCAAAGGTGCTCCGTGACCTGTGAGCTTACAGAAATCCTCACCCAGGGGTTCCTCCCAGGAGAATATGTGGTTGACCTTGTCAGATTCCCAGAAGCTCTTCCCACGCAAAGCTGGTGGGGCTTGACACTCGTTCATTAATGAAAAGCTATTTTTACATCTCTCATCCTAATGAGCCAATCCTCATGTGCGGATTTTACAGAAAACGCTGAAGTGCTCCGTCGTGGTGCCTGGAGTGCGCGCTTCTCATCGCCGTACTTCAAACGCGAAGTGCTGCCGGGACGCAAATGCAAAATTAATTTTGTTCATAAATCATACTGTTTGTCCTGAAGCACTTTCAGGCAAAGTTTTTATAAAGATGGGAGAATAATCTAAAGCCCGGCTAGGACAAAGCTTTAGACTCTCCCTCGCTCTCGTGACTCCTAACGGAGTAACCATGATGGTGCCCCTGGAAATCTCAGGGCTGAGTAACGGGACACAAAATGGCGAGGTCACAGCTATGCTTCCTCTGAGCTATAGCTTGAAGTGGTGTCCAAACCTAAAAGACAGAAGCGGCATCCCTTCTGATGTCCCCTCTCCAGGAACCGCCCACCACAATATCATCCACTGCGCTGCTGGAGGGGTTGGGGTTGGCCCTTGCTAGGTTTGACTCAACAAGCTTGTTCGCTTGGTCGATACGGTGACTTAAACAGTGGCCTCCGAGCAAATCTCCAAGTCCTACCATCAACCTGCTAATGCAACCGTATATGGCAAAGGGGCTTTTGCAAATAAACAGAAGATCTTCAACTAAGATTGTCCTTCATTGACTAGATGGTGCATAAATCTAGTGACAATCTTTATGAATCATGTGTTTCATAGCAGAAAATGATTGGACACCATCAATGGAGAAGGAAAAAAAGGGGAGGGGCCTTGTCAAGGCAGGAGCGAGCCTGGAGTTACTTAGCTACAAAGTTAGTCCCTGGAAACGGGAAGAGGCAGGGGCTGTCTCACCTGGGTACTCCAGAGGGAACAAGGTCTGGCAAACACCTTGAATTCAGATTTTAGCCTCCAGGATCACGAAAGGACAAACTTCTATTATTTAAGCCACCGAGGTAGTGGTCACCGGCTTTCTCCACCCTTCAAAAGTAAAACCGCGTTCCAAGTCCTTCTCACAACCACGTCAATATCTTTGACTCTTCCTCTGTGCCTCCTGTGCTACCTAACGTAATTCAGACCACCACCAATCCCAGAAACATTTTAGTGAGAAAGAAAAAGAATCCCGCGGACCGAGGTAAAGGATGCCGGTGCCGACAGAGCTGAGTTTTACTGGAGCTGAGCCCCTGGCACCCCAGACTTTGTGTGCATTTTCAGCTCAAGCTGAGCGCTTCTGCACGGGAACTTGGGGCATCCCTGCAATCCTGCCCTCGTCAGCTGACGTCTGCAGCGCACCTGGCAGACGCCCAGAGCAGAAGCAGTGTGTGTCTTTCTCTGAGCTTGAGAAACTGCAGAAACCGGTCTTCTCGGCGCTGAAGAAAGACAGGAAATTGCTTCTGTTTTGCCATGCATTTCTCAAGGCACTGCTGTGGGCTGGAAAACAGAGGTCCCGGTAAATCCAAACATGCTTCCCTCCTCTCTTTTCTGAACCTAACCAGACTCACCCGGAGCTGACTCAAGAAAGGGAAAGGGACCTCAGCAAAGCTGCCTGTCAGAGGCGGTGGCGACTGTCACTGTAAGCCCAGCATTCCTAAGACAACTTCCGAATGAGCTCAAATTTCAGCGCTGAGAAAAGTACAATAAAATAAAAACCTTTATCTCTCCGCTAAGGTGGGCGCCTCTGGGTAGACAGTGTAGCATCTGTGCCGCCTGCTAAACCCAGGGATCCAGTCTCCTGGGTCTAATGAGATTATTGATTCCCACGAGCCAGCTGACTTCAGGCAAACCTCCTCCTCCCAGAGCAGAAAATCTATTCTGCAGTGAAGACAGCACTGTGTTTCCCTCCTGGCTTACTGCAGTTTCAATAGCCCTTACCTATAATGGAGGAATTTAACAAATGCCATATCAATGAGCTACTAATTACTGATTAGCGGCAACAATGCCAAGAATGAACTCTCTAAACATCCCCCAGCATTAACACGGTTCTTCTGAATTGGTCTTGACAGCTGCTTTCCCATATTTCGACTCCTCTCGTCTCCCTCCATATGATACTTCTCCACTCCAACACTATAATAACAAGACTAAAAACATTGCAGCAGATCAATTGTGGAGGGAGGCTTGAGAAAATCTGGGGAGCCTTCCGCAGAAGCCTCTTCTGGTAGCGCCTGTCACAGCTTCTCGTTACCGGAGAACAGAAATCTCAGCGAGTGCGGCTGTCATAACACAAGCAAGAAATCACAAACCGGATCGTAAAGAGACAGTTTTTATTGTGCTTGGATTTGGGCGGGCACAAAAATAAGCCATCAAGGAGCATGTATATGCGTATAAACACAGATACACAGTTTGGCAAAGTAAAATTGCATTGTCGTAGACATGAGGCCACAAAGCAATGAGATTAATTTCCTTGTCGTACTGGTGGAGACCATTTGCCATGTACATGCTCTGTGATTGTCTCAAACACAGCAACCTTTAAACAGCTAGCCTCACAGATATAGCAGAGTCTTTGCTCAAGTCAACACCCAACCAGGTTAGCTTTATGGTTCTCACAAATGCTCCAAAAACCTAAGCTCCATGATTAGACTAGCCAAGGTACAAGGGCACAAAGCACAGAACCACCCCTACTATGGAGACTGCTACCTCTCTGTGTGTGCTGTGTGACCTCTGGTCTCTTGTACTGAAGAAGTCAGAAGATTTCCATGCCCAGCACTTATAACAACTGTGAATCCAGCATTCTGTCATCACGTGTGGACCAGGCACTTGGCTGGTACCATCTGGGAACCCTACAGCCGCTCACAAGTGTGCATGCAATTTTACATGCACATTTTACAGACAAGGGATAGACCCTTAAAGGTTAAATGCCTTCCTAAGGGGCCACAAGTTCTGCATGAGAGTGGATTAGAATTCCTGTCTTTTTTTACCAAGCCTGTGACTCCAAGACAATATCCTTCTCACCACAATTAATGTTAAAAAGCAAACCGAAATGGCAGAGGCTACTTACAATCCTATAGCCTGCAATGAAGATCTAAGGAACAGCTCTGGGCAAGGATGCCAGAAATCTAACTTCATCTCATCCACAGAGACAAAAGTTTGCTTTCATTCTAGGTCTTCAAAGGTGGCAAACACGTTTAAATGGCCCAATTGAAATATGGGAAGTATTGTTAGGAACATGCCTAAATTATCAAAGGGAATTAAATTTTTGTTTGTTTGTTTGTGTTTCTGGTTGGCTGCGTTGGACATAAGCTCTCCTCCTCTTCCAAAGGCTCTCTTGGCTCCTGTTCTCTCCCAGGTTCCGCACTGTGGAAGCAGCAGTCTCAAGAAGTCAGCAAATGTCAGCTGGGGTTCAGCCTGGTTGAGTTCAGACATTTAGTTTTGGAGGACAGCAACACCAAGATCGCTGAAGCTATAGCTGAGAAGGAAACACACCAAGTTAGGCTTTGTGGCTTCCTCCCCACGTACCGAAGAAAAGAGATCTGGAAAAGATTACCGGAATAGCATCTATGGTCGCTGTTAGCTCTGTCCAGAGTCCTTGTCTCTATGGTTCTTGCTTTGTTCCAGGTACATCTAAAAATTTGAGGTCACTGAGAAAAAGTAGCCATTCATAAGATGAAGAAAGAGAAACCAGTAGTGACAACATTCTTAAGCAGAGCTGTATTAAAAACACAGTGAAGTTAAGAAACTCCGGGGGGCGGGGAGCGGGGGACGGGGGGGGGAATATTTGTTAAAGTAAAATAATTCTAATCACAAAGGACTGTCTTATTTTGTTGCCTTTCATACCAATACTTTGGTAACAATCACAAAAAAGAAATAAAGAGAAGGAGGGGCTTGTTATTAGTGTAGCTCAGGATCCCAGAGCTAGAACATTATCTTTTCCTTAGAAGGCAAAGTGGTTCATGTTCCTGATGGCTTCAGGTTTCACGTGGCTGATGTTACAGTATCAACATGATGTAGGAAAAGAAAATCTGAATTTAAAATTTACATCCTCATCTCCTATGACCTTGAACAAATGATTTCAGTTAGCTAGGGGTGGGGACGCGATGTTGCACACCCAATATCTCAGCACTAAGGAGGCTGGAGCAGTCTAGGCTACATAACAAAAATGATCTAAAACGGAAATGACTTGGTTCGGTCCCGTCACATGGGGTATGAGCTCCCTGGATTGGATTTGTCAGAGGCTGGGATGACAAGAGCCACTCCTCAGGGCCAGTTTTATTACTAGACGTCAATAAATCACCAGCCGTCAAAGTCTTGAAGAGCGCTCTGGCTACAGGTAACTAATCTGCAAAATGGAGTTCTTGGATAAGTGATCTGAGAGCTCTCCCAGCTTTTCAAACTATGGATTTACAGAATAAAAGGAATGATTGCTCAATACATAAACATAATAAACTGGGGTAGAGCCGTAGAAATGAATTATCCCTCCGCAATAAGAAAAGAATGAACCTTAGATACACACAACAGTGTGGACAAATCTCCAAATACTGTTATCTGTACTGCGTGAAATAAACCCTACCCCCTCATTGACATAAAACCCTAAACTGAGGACCTGAACCATGAAAGAGAGCGTTATCTGGGGTGTCGTGAAACTTTCAGGGTGAGAGATACCTTTGCTGCCACTGTCTTGATTGAGCTGATAATTTCCCTGAGTAAATGCATATGTCAAACCTTATGACAGTCTACACTGTAAGTATGTGACATTGACTATGCAATCTGATCTTAACAAAGTTAGCGAGGGGAAAGAAAAGAAACAGACAGGGAGCTTGGGGGAGTCTAGAGATCTGGAAAGATAACTGGATGGGAAGTCTAACTGGAAGGTGGAGGTGCCTGAACAGAACAAAGGACGGCCCATAAACACAGAAGGGGCTGCCGGCATCTTTACTGTTCCCCTTCAAAGGCCAGAGAAGCAATAAAAGCAAAGCCGAGGCTGGGGTCGGCACAGTCTGGCTTTGCTTGCTGCCTGGTCATCAACTCTGGCTGTCAGTATCACCATAGATGCTGCTAGGCCTGTTCTAGGGTTGAACACTGACTGGTCATTCTCCATGCCAATCACACTCAGCCCAGAGCACTGACTAGGCCTTCTCCACACCGACCAATCAGTCATACTCAACCCAGGCAGTTATTGAGCTTTCAGTCAGTGATACTGGAGACGAACTGTGACCCTTACGTTGACTAGCCAAAAGGAGTGTCAACATGGCGTCATGTTGAGGAGTCATTCCAGATTCTTCTGGAAGATATTCCCAGCTCCCCACTGCTGCATAGACCAAGACCAGGAGTTTAGTCTCTGTTCTTTTCTTTCTCCTAACCTCTGAATTGGCTCTTCCAACACTTTTCTTGGGGAGTTCTGGGGGATTGCCACAACTGCGGTGAGTTCCACTTTCTTCAGGCTAAAGAACTTTACCGGAAGCTCTGGTAGAAAATCAAATTGGACAAAGATCAAAGTCGGGAGAATTCCTGGTAAGTGGGTCCACTTTAAAGGCAACAGTCCCTTTCACTTCTGATTAAAATGGAAATTGTCTATAAAGAAACTCCTTGGGACAAAGTTGAATCCGGAACCAGATTGAGCAAGCAGTTCATTACCCTTCAGTGAAAAATGAACGAGGTTCGTCTTTCAGAGGCAGGAATGGGGTCGCGATGGTAAAGTGGTAATTAAAAAGACGTAGCCTAAACTCAGCTGCACAGTTCTGGAGATCCTCCAGGGCACTGGAAAGAGAACGTAGTCTCCTCCAAATATAAGCTCTCCTCAGCCGGCTCTAATAAGATTGGCGCCGCCCTTTTTATATAGACCCAATTACCTCGACATGCCACAGAACAAATACTACAAGCAGACTGTGCCTATGGCCACTAGTTAGACTTTACTGCTTTTAGGGAAGACATTGGCTTCCACTTGGTCCTCATTGACCAAGTGGCCAATACTTGGCTGCAGGTATATGGCTCATCGGACCCATCCTTTTCCCTCCGCACCTTATTGCCGTCTTCCCGTGCTCCAGCTCCATCAAAAATCAGTTCCGTAAAATTCTTACCGCTGTCATTTATTGAAGAAGGGAAATCCACGGCTAAATACATAGAAGCTGTTGGCAGTATTAATTAGACTCCAGACCATCACCGTGGCTCTTGTTTTTTCTCTTTTTCTTTCCTTTTCAGTAGAACGTGCAGCCTCGGTTACAGAGAAGACTTTCCCAGGAGAAGCCAATAATATAAGACTCCCAGTGGTCTGGGTCAGCCAGCCACTCCCCTATGAATCTCGGCGAACCCTAGTTTGGTGGAAAGAGCAATAATCTTACAGATTAATGAGATACAGATGGGAACTGAAGAGACAGCCCTGTGGCTAAGAGCAAATATTGCTCTTTGAGAGGACCCGAGTTCAGTTCCTGCCACCCAAGCCAAGCAACTCATAGACAACTGTAGCCCCAGCTCCAGGGGTTTGGGCACCTCTGGCCTCTCAGCCACGGCATTCACATAGACATACCCCAACAGACACGCACACACATACACACAATTAAAAATAATAAAATAAATCTCAAGATATTAAGAAGGAAGTTTAAGAAGTGCCCATTCCTTACACACTAGAAGGGGGAAGTGTTTGGCAGTGGAATGATACTTCCTGAATATACACCGATGAACACAAGAAAAGATCAGGTGAGCCTGCCTTGTCATAGACAACAGAGTTTAGGCCTCGAGTCTAAGCTAACCTTAACTAAACATGACAAGCCACCCAAACCTCCCAACGCCCATCCTAACTGCTGCTTACTGAGGCATCCAGATGCCATCATTATAACTCTATATCCTTCCAGCATTAACCGCCAACCTCCTGGAGGTATACTAAGAACTAACTAGAAACATTTTGATTTTCTAAAATGAAGAAGAGTCTAGGAAGATTACTAGAACGGAGCATTATAATTCTTAATTATGGTGATCTCTCAAGCCTGGCAGGTTTAATGAAATCACGATCAGCAAATAAACCGCAGGGTGAGGGTCCAGGGCAGGCAGCAGCCGGAACAGAGTCAGGCAGAAGGCTCAGCTGAGGAACGAAGCCTGGAGATGCTCAGCGGTAAAGCGCCCCCTAAGAATCAGGCCGTAATTATAAACTAAGATTCCAGAGAGCTCTTTCCTATCTCGGCGAAGAGCTCATTTTTGAAGCCGTTCATTAGGTTCTGCCCCCATCTGTTGCGGTGGTGGCTGTTGCGTCTGCAGGGCCCAAAATGACACTAATTTTGGCGACATTTTCTTCAGCTTCTTACCTTTCCTAGGAAAGAATTTTCCTTAGAGAATCTAAAAGTCGAATTGCTTAGTAATGCATACTTTTGAAGACAGAAAGAAGAAGAAGAAGAAGAAGAAGAAGAAGAAGAAGAAGAAGAAGAAGAAGAAGAAGAGGAAGAAGAAGAAGAAAACCTCCGTTGAGTCTCTCTCGCGAACCAACTAAAGAGGCATGACTACTGCAAGCCACATTGTCAGAGTCACGGCTGCCTACTGAAATAGGGATGGGACAGAGAGAATTAAAAGGCACAGAAGTCAGGACTCCTATTAGTACTTAGGGTGAGAAATAACTGCGCCCTTGTCCTATGCTAGCGGAGAGCTCAAAGGAGCACAATGGCTCGTCTCAGGCTCCTCTGGCACAGCCAGGGGACATCAGGAGATGCCTGTTTCCATGCACGATGTTGCTATGGGAAATACCTTCATTTGCAGCAGTCTGAAAGAGATGTAAATCTACTCAGGTGTTCAGCAACCAACAGTTTTCGGGTCATTTTCTTCCTATGTTTCTATTGGTTTGATCCGCCGCAACGTTAACTCCTTCTGCAACCCTGAGGAAGCGGGACCTCCAGTTTGAGCCCCGGACAGAGGGAAGCTGGGGCTGTCTGTGGTGTGAGCGAGCTACCCACGAAAGCTAGAGCAATCGGGCAGATCCTGGAACCATGGACAGAGGCAGGAGTGACTCTGCTGCCCCCAAGCGGATTTGGTCACCTGGAACCCTCCAGGCACAAGGTCGCTGGCTTAGGATGGCGTACAGTGATCAATATCTTGGGATGGTTGGGTTCCCGGGCCAATACAGCTTTCGCACTCACACCGACGCAAACCTAGTTCTGTCACGTGACCCTGGTCCTGCCGACCTGCTACTGGCGCCCCTCACCTTCATGCCGTACATATTTCCTGAGCTCTGGTCACAGCTGCGCGATAAGTCATTCCGATGGTTTTACGGCAGAGCAGCAGGCCTTGCTCAATCATCAGGTAGCTACGCCCTGCGATAAGACTTCAAACAAAGGGGACAGCATTCCGAGAGCAGGGAGAAGGCAGAAGATCGGATCCCTAAGGATCACAGAAGCAGCTTGAGGGTATGCTTTACACCCAGGAAGGTAGTGCCGTGTGGGAGAGCAGGAAGGAAATACGGAGAACAGAAAACACAGCTTGAGCCATAGCGCAGAGGCATCACCAGGAACACTCTGGAGAGCAGGTGGTAAAGCGAAGAGGCGTCTGGGTAGGAGGAGTCGGCAGGAGGCAGTGCGTACAAGGCGCAGACAAAATCAGATGTGTCCTTCAAATGGTTGAGTTTCACCCTCATAGACAGGGGAACTAGCACAGGTAAGGTGTGGTCCGGCCTGTGTTTTCAGAAGCTCGTGAAACCTGCCGGGTAGAAAAGGAGTGCAGTGCGGAGCCTAGGGGAAGAGAAGCTGAAGCAAAAATAGGATTTGCCAGGGGAGTGGGGAAGCCTGGGCGGACCATGTGCACTGACGGGTTCTGAAACACTGATTCTGACAGGCGTGTGACGGAGCTGCAGATCTATTGGCTGTAGAGACTGAGGGAAGCAAGGGGATTATTGCCGGGCTTCCTGCCGTGTCTACAGAGAAGATGCTCACAGCACCCTTGAGAGCCGTGGGTGCTCAGGCTTTTGCATTGGGTCGTATGGCATTTGCACCTAGAGATGAACTACGGGGAATTGGAAGTACAGATCTGGGCCTCATGATCCATAGGCCCGTTTTTGTATGAGAAAAATTGAAGCTTAGAAATGTTGGATACTGTCTCTAATTCCGTCCCTAGCAGAGGTGATGTTTTAGGCATGCTTGTGGTTGGTCTTAGCCTAGTATCAGAGATGAAAGGCAAAAACGACTCCTGTATGGCAAAGCCAGAGACAAAAGAGAAAGGCAGAACCCGAGAAACATAGGTTCTGAGGAAAGCAGAAGACCTCTGAGCCAAAAGCTGAGAAAACAAAGCAAATTCTACTGAAGGAGGAGGAGCCAAAGGGCCAAAGGGAGGATGAAGACTTGATGCTGGACCAAGGAAGGAGGGGGG